TTAAAAAATGCGCTTACTTTTGAAATTATGTCAAATTTTAATGTTTTAACCAATGAGATGGATGGATTATACAATACAAAATTAGCACCTTCATGCATTCCATTGCCGTTTGCTTGCCTGATTCTTACTCGGACCATTAAATGATCTCACACGGAATACGTCATACAATGCAGGTGAAAAGAAAATATTCTAACCCAATTATCATGCAATTCAAAACTAAATGTTAATCAAACCATAGTTAGTATGATCAAACATTCAAATGTGAAAAAATGCTTTCTCAAATTAAAGAGTGTAATGTTGAACAATAATGTTTTTTTGGAATTAGTACATCAGCCTACCGCCTCCATTCAAATCAGCTTGTGGCAGCAGAACACTSAAGACTTCCAAGATTTACTCGCGAAGCAAATGTGTGATGGAATGCACCACACGTAAAGTAATTCGACAATGTGGTTGTAGACTGCTGGGGTTGCCTGACCTACCAGGTAGGAAGGAACAATGGGTTGGTGTCGATGACGATGCTTCTCGGCTTTTCYTTTTCTTTCTTTTTTTTCAGAGTACAACGGCTCAAAACATTGCACTCCGAAAGAAATGTTCTCTTGTGGAATATTTGATTATCCCAGCTCCAGCGAAGTGAAAGTTTCRTTTCTAAATGCCTTGTTCAAATATTTCTTAACTTCTGGTTAGTGGGTAGCATTTCCAAATATATGTTAAAACTAAACGTTCATGTTCTTGGAATATATTTCACACACATTCCCGTTTGTTTCCAGATAGTTCCTACTCAACTGATAATCCAGGAAGAGAATGTGATTGCCCAAAAACGTGTACGCAAATTCAGCACAAAATTGCACAAATTAACGTCATATCGTTAATGTCTGAGTCGTTTTTGAGGGAAACCTTCCCCTTTCGCGAAACTCCAAACAAAGATCAAGAAATACGGAATCTTATGACGTCTTTTAGGTAATATTTTTTGAGTTGCATTACTAGATAAAATTTAAACTTTTAAAAATCATTTATAATTAAAGAAGAAAAGTTAAAGTGCTTACTTTTTCACATCCATTGTGTAAAGAGCACCCTTATTTTTTGCATAATCGCGAATATCTATCTTCCTACACTCATCTATGCCCATGCCCAGTTATTTTTTCTTCTATTCCTAACCAAGACTCTTGCTTTTTTCCCAAGATTTTAATACTCGCGTTTCATAAGCCGCTTTGGAAATGTTAAAATTCANAGATGGAAGAGGAAACAAAGTGAATAAGGTGGAAGGAGTGGAGGTGGAAGAGGGATAGGAGATGGAAGGAGACCTTAAAAAGGAGTAGGAGATGGAAGAGGAAACAAAGTGAATAAGGTGGAAGGAGTGGAGGTGGAAGAGGGATAGGAGATGGAAGGAGACCTTAAAAAGGAGTAGGAGATGGAAGAGGAAACAAAGTGAATAAGGTGGAAGGAGTGGAGGTGGAAGAGGGATAGGAGATGGAAGGAGACCTTAAAAAGGAGTAGGAGACGGAAAAGGTAAACAAAGTGAATAAGGTGGAAGGAGTGGAGGTGGAACAGGGATAGGAGAAATAAGATGGGGACATAAAAAGAAATAGGAGATGGAAGAGGAAAACAAATTGGAAAAGGTTGAAGTGTTGGAGGTGGAAGAGTGGTAGGAGGAGCTGACTGAAAGGGTTGAGAGTGCCGAAGGAGGTGGAGAGAGAAGGATATGGACAAGAAGACAAAACCAAAGAGTGAAGCGAAAACACTGTTCAGWATTTTCATGTTTTGTTTGTTATTCTAGTCTTATCGCTCCGTTTAAACTTTGTTTTCTAGCGGATGTTGGTGGTTATCTTGGTCTGTTTTTGGGATGCAGTATTTTAACCTTTTTCGAAATCTTTGATTTCATCATTAGCTACCTTTTGGGAAAACAGAAACCTAAGAATCAAGTAGAACAAAGCGATTGTAAAATAGAAAATCAGGTCACAGGATCGATTAACAGTGCTATTGACAGAAGCGAAGGCAATGAAGTTTTGCCTTCTAATTAGATAGTAGAGTAGATGAGGGATGAGGCGAGGGCATTATGCTGTGACAGTAGCCCGCGGATGTTTCCACAAAAAAATAGTCGCCCGAGCCAGCGCAGTTTGTAAACGTTAGTGCTCACTCGGCAAATGTGGTTAAATTTTCAACAAGTTTTGAAATGTCCAAACATTGCTCGAAAATATCATAAATCAAAAAAATATTATATGTACACGTACACATTATACTTATTAAATATTACATAATATGTTTGTACATACTTGACAAGACATTGTTAACAATAA